CCCCCTCCTGCAGACTTTGGTTCAGGACGGCGCAGCCGTGGTCGCGGGCCGCGAAGGCTGCGGGGCCGTCCACGGCGCCGTGGTCGATCTTGAGCTTCCGCGGCGTGGCGGGCCAGGGCGGTCCAGCGCGGAGCACGGCCTCGAAACTGCGCGGCTGTGGCGCCCGGCTCCAGGGCGACAGGGCGATGGCCACGGGCAGATCCTCCAGCAGGCCGGCTCCACAGACGCGGTAGCGCTCCTGCAGAAAGACGCTCTGATGGCACCTGGTGAGCTCCGCGAAGCCCAACTTCTCCAGCTCCGACTCCGCGACCTCAAGGCCCTCTTGGGCCCAACGCACCTTGAAGGCCTCAGATAGCAGAAGTGGAAAACTACCACAAGATCTCTGAAAAACGGAACACTTCCTGACAAGCCTGTCAACTGCGCTGGGCATCCTCGCAGCTGAAGCCTAGCGGCTTTGTCAGGTAGCACCGGCATCACCACAAGACGAAGTGACGAGTAGAGGAAGGGGTCATAGTGACCCAGGGACACGGCTATGTCACCCAGGCCATCCACGCTTGCATCGCACTTCAGCGCCACCTGCGTGCGGTCCCAGGTCTCCCCCACCAGCAGGAGCAGAACGTCGGACGCCACTGGCGGGCCTTCAGCCGGGGGAGCAGGCCGAAACATCCCTCAAAGCCTGGAAAAATCCTGTGAAAACCTGGAGACATCCTGAAGCCTAGATGGCTCAAACACAAATTACCCTTCAAAAGGGCTTAGGGCTTAGGAAGCCCTATATACTCCTTATATGGTAGTTTCCCAAAATAAGGGGGCCCCGATATAGACCCCAAAATACTATAATGGGCATCCTGCCAGGTCCTACCAGGAGCTGCAACCACCTGAGCCCTGCCTTGGTGGAGATCGACTGCACCGAACTCGGACTCGAAGCGCTGCTCCCCCACCTCCAAGAAGCAGGAGGAGCAGGGAGAAGGACTAGTACTAGTAGCAGCGCCACTACCAATATAGGGAATAACACTAACACTAGCAGCAGCAGGAAGAGGAAGAGGAGGAGGAGCTTGTTGTCGTTGCTGCTACTATTATGCTGTGGATATTACTTCTCTTCTATTGCTCCTGCGCCTGCACGCCCCCTTATGCCTAGTCCTCCGTCATGAAGGAGGAGCAGAAAAAGGATTGAAAACGCAAGCGAAAGCAAAAAACAACACATATGTTTTTATACATATGTATATGCATTAGACACAATTATGTGTATATACAAAAATATATAACATACCGATTATATATATATATGTAAATGCTATAGATATTTTGATATCTATACAGCAGGAGTGATACGGATGAAGCCGACAGCTGAGAGGACCTCCAACTCCAGCGCCAAGGTCAGCTGGGCCGAGGTGCTCTGCCAGTCCGGCCGCCTGGGCTGCTGTTAAAAGGAGCTCAAACTTAGTTACTGTGATAAGGGGTATATAGGCTTTTTTTGTATATAGGGTTTAGGTTCTAGGGTTTAGGGCTTATAAGGTTTAGGGTTTAGGGCTTAGGGACTGTGATAAGGGGTATATCAGGTTTAGGGTCTAGGGTCTAGGGTTTAGGGTTTATAAGGAAACCCTACTGTCTACTATGTACCCGTATTCTAAGGTAAGTTTCTTAACAGCAGCCCAGCCGCAGGGTTCCGAAGCGTAGCAGCTGCTTCCTCGGCTTTAGAGCCCTGTGACGGATTGTATAGGGGTCATAAAAAAATGTGGGGGTTTCCCAAAATTAGGGGTACCTTTTGGGGGGTCCCCATAACAAGGACTATAGTATTTTGGGGTCTATATTGGGGTCCCCCTATTTAAGGAAACTACCATATATAGGGTCTAGGCTTTACGGAAACTACTCCGAAAATGGAAATAAAATGAGAAAGTGTAGGTTAGATACTTACTGGGGGTTAGTAGGAAATAAGGGAATGCAATCCCTATATATATATATATATAGATTATCCTATATAACGCATTCCTTCATTCTCTACTAACCGCCAGTAAGTATGAAGTCAAGGCATATTACCTTGTACTTCTCATGATCCAAAAAGCGGTAGACCCTTCCACCCCGACTTTCAAGACGGACAGGATCAGTTGCCAGCACCCGGGTCGAATGAGCTACATGCACAATGCATCCTTCCCCATACGGACTTCGACCAGCGCCACCTAGTGCTGAGCCCTTCGAAAGCCTCTGCTGCCCGAGAGGCTGGGCCTCTGGCGTGCTCCCGCAATTGCCGCCGGCACAGCCCGCGAGGCGGCCACGGAGGCGGCGGTCGCTGGCCGGCGTGGCTGGGCCCACATCGCCGGACTCCAGGCCTTCATAGTTGAACACTTCAAAAAAACCGGCAGGGAGAGGACTGATCCTGAGTTCCAGGCCTTGATGATCGATGAAGGCGAAGAAGCATCCACGATGGCCCAGCAAGGCAGTCAGGCACTGCAACAGCTCGTGGCATCTCGACTCACACTGCTTCTCATCGGCGCCCCTGAGACATCACATCGGCAGGAACTTTCCTACGACACCCGCTGGCAGCAAGGTCCGAGAACAAAAAACTGTCACTACGTCATACTACGTCGCTCATGGCAAGCAAGGCACGTGTGCTCCTCGAACACGGTCCACTGCTGGACATCGTCAGAAGGTGTGGTGTTTCTAGCAACCGGCAGGCCCAGGTAGCAATCGATCAAGCTCACGCTCAAGTCGACCTCCTCCACGCCTGCCAGGTGTCCGACAGTGACCGCAGTTGCTGGGTTGCTGTTAAGG